AACCACAATTGCAATTCGAAATTTAAAACATTAAAATTTCCAGCTTTGCATAGAGAGTCACTTGAAATTACGCTTACAGTCCCTTTAAATGGAAAGCTTGAAAATCATTAAAGAGTATTTAGTAATGAAAGATAGTACAAAGGGGCTGGTCGCAAATCTATTGATTGGTATGAAAATACCAACAAAAACGTATCATCTTTCCGTATTTTTCAATGCATGAATACTAAGTGCATTTTATTTTTACCAATCTCTTCAGAGTTTAATTCTTTAAAGACAGTGGTGGGGTGAGGTGGGGGTGGGGGTCTGCTGAGGGGAGGAAGGCCAGCCACAACAACTTCTCGGCTCACATTCTCCTCATTTTCTCGTCCGAACCACCTCGAAGTCCTTGTCCTTCGATAAATATGTGTTTAAAAGTTTCTAATTCTTGTAGATAAAACTATTTTTAACAAATCTGGCCACGTTAGGGTATAAAAAATGAAAAGATTAAAGTATTGCATTAATTAAATCATGTTTGAAACTTTAGAGACATGAGAATGGTGTTAAACTTTATTTAAGATAAAACTTTAAACGCTTCTGCCTCCGTAATGGCCAAAATTCGCGATATGAAATAAATAGCAAAATATTTGGAATACCTCTGTCTATCATTTTCCCCATGGAACCACCCGGAAAAAATCTCTGGTTTTCACTATAATCAACAAAAAAGATCCAAGTTCTATAACCTTGGAATTATTTGCAGCATTCGGCATCAGGAATATATGAAAATGCGCGTAAAAAGGTGAACATTTTTAAGGATATAGAACTCGAAAACTTCAATTCAATTGAAACTATTTTTTTCGATTTACTAAAATTCAATAATTCATTTATGCCCTAACGTGGCCCGATTTTTAAAAAATAGTATTATCTTGGAGGACTAGACACTTTAAAAAAATAATATTGGAAGGACGAGGATTTAGAGGTGGCACGGACAAGAAAATGAGGAGAATGTGGCTCGGACTAGAAATTGTTGTGGCTGGCCTTCCTCCCCTCCTCTGCTCCCCACTATCTCTCAAAGTAAAGAATCGAATACTTATAGGAGCTGTTTTTTGCCACAAAAATATGATGCTTAAATCCCTTTAACTTTGTAACCCGATGTTGTAGAAGTATATAGGTTGCAAAGGATTAGAAAATTTCAGTTTGTTTCAAAATCTGGTGCCTTATGATCAAAACTGAGAACTTTGGTTTATTCAAGGATGTAATGCAAGGAAAGTTATTTCAGAAGTGTACACATCTTTTGTACTGCTGCAGTGTACTGTCTCTGGGCGCTAATGTAAGCACAAGACGGATGTCGAAGCCTGACATGTGATCCATCTTTCACATAAAAAAATAATGAAATATTCTGATCATTATAGGAAACTATTATGTGAATTATCAAAATTATCAAAATTTAATGCTTTTAACCTCCTCGGATACTAAACGAACACTGATGCATCTATTCTTGTTTACAAATTCCGCCCAGAGAGAACTGGTTTCAATATGTACGCAGAGTATACGCGACCGCAATTAACTTTCCTTGCATTACATTCTTGGGTTTATTTTAATAATAATTATTCTTCAAAATCAGATAAAGGGATTGTCTGTCAGTGACCGTCTATTTTGTCCAAATTACAAAGGTATCCTGTAATCGGACATGCCACTCTAAAAATGTTGAGTCCTTTTTAGACTGGTCAATATCAAATTTTGTTTTAATAATTTGTCATCAAAAGTCAGCCCAAAATCATTTCGTTCCGTAAAAATTAATTTTATTCGGAAAGCGTCAAAAGTTTACAGGCTATGCATAAGAAAGTGTTTATTTAAAAAGTAAAAAAATTATAAGAAAATAAAGAAAAAAGTGAAGAGATAAACCCTCCACTTCAATTGATTCAAGGATCATTTTATCTTCTTCACTCTTCCACTCATGTCACATCAACGAAAGAAAACAAAACATAATTTTACCAAGAATAAAATAAAAAATGTAAAATGAAAATGAAAATAAAAATGCCTATTTTTAACAAAGTTTTTAATTTTTTACAAACAGATTATAAAACACTATACTTCAGGTCAACTTGAGCTATTTTTTCCAATATATTTTTTTCCATTCTACGTTTCAGTTTTTATTTAAGCTAAAAACAAGTAAAAACTGGTCTTTTAAGCTTTTAAAAGGAATGTAAAATGAAAATAAATTTTTAAATTTGTTTTTGTTTTTTTCTTTTTTTAAATACTTTTCAATACTTCCTTTTTAACTCCAACTTAAGTTATTTCATTATTTATTTAAATTACTATTACATTAAAGTGCCTGTTCAGACAATTGTGTATATCAATTCATTTAGTCCTTTTTCTAGTAATTTCGGGTTTTAGAAGTATGCTGTAGATATAATTGCTAATATGCTTGAAGTAAAAAATATTTACACCATCAGGTTGCAAAGATATAGGTATTAAAAAAATTGAATTCGTGGCAAGAATCCAGTTCTATTAACATTTATAACCTTTAATAACTTTCGTATTTAAAAACTCCAACATTTAGGTTGCATCAAAATTGTCACACAATATTGTACACAAATATTTGTTATATATATATATACATATATATATATATCTGTTCAATATACATATATGTCAAAATGAAAAATATGTATGTTTAGTGCATTAAAAATATAAAATTTCTCAACTGCAAAACTCAATATCTGAATTAAAGCCTTGATTAAATATCGACATATGCTAAAACAAGATTTATTATTTAACAGGGCTTGTTAATAGATTATAAAAAACTAGGCTTCCAGGTTGCTTCGCGCCCATCTTTGGTTACAAACAAACAAACAAGCAGAAAAGCAAATAATATTTATAGAATAGGCTATCATGGCGCTTCGCGCCCATCTTCTTTTTCAACTATTAATTGTTGCTTAAGCTATGAGCATTTTCTCTTCGATAAAACATTGTTAAAAAGTTTTGCGGATTTTCAATTTTTTCGTGGATTTTCAAAACTTTACGAACATGAACAAATTTTTGAGATACTTTTTTGTAATTCTGAGTTCCGAAGTCACCAAGTAATGTTGAATAAATTTAACTTTCTGTTTCTGTCCAGTTCAATGTGTTTTATGTGACAGCAGATGCCAAATGAAGAAAACCTCTCCAAGGGTTTACTGTAAAAAAGGTTTGATGCTTTGAAAATATTCAAAATAATTTTGGTGAAACTTCTGTTAGTGTAAACAGAGCTTAAACTTTGAAGGATAATACAGAATAAACAATGTTAAATTATAACATTGAAAAAAGTTTTCTTAAAGAATCCTAGAAGAAAAAAGAAAAAATGAGTAAAATAATAGAATTTAATTAAAAAAAGGCTTCACATCTTGGCTTCATGTTAGAAAATGCACTTTCTAAAGAAAGGGATTATATTATGAAATCAAAAAGCTTTTTACTTTTTAATAATGAACTAAAGAATATGAGCTAGTATATGTATAAAGCGTATTCATCCATTATTAAAATTCTGTGAAAGACATAAAGTTTTTGGAATTAATCATCGTTAACTGTTATATAGGTAATGGCAAAGGCTCTCAGAGTTTTTGCGTAATTATAAATGGCAATTTAGAAAAATTAATTCCTTTTAAAAGCAATGCTTTAAATTTTAAATTGATAAAGAAGTTTTTCCATATTCGGAGTACTTTTTAAATATATTTTGAATGAAATCAAATGTTTAATAATCTTTGTTAAGAAATATTTAATATTTGTAAGTAGGCTTTTTTGCTTCGATGATATAAAAGAGAAATTTTAAACGATATTATTTTCTAATATGGTTGAAAGTAAAGTGTATAGTTTTATCAATGTTTAAAAGAAAAAAGAAAAATTATGATAATTTAAAGATATTTTTGAAAATGTTCTTATTTGATGTTGTTTCTTTAGCATAAACAAGAAACATGAACTTATGTTACGTTAGATATTACAAGGTTCTTATATATCCAATTTTCTGAGGACAAATGGCAGAAAGTAAATATTCGAGTATATTTTGTAAAATATGTTTTCTATATAAAAGATATTAGGTTACATCTCTCTCTTGCTGGTAACAAAACACGAGAATTAGAAGAAAAACACTTTAAAAAAATGTAATCAAAGTTTTATTTTATTTTCTTGGATAGAAACCCGAGGAGACATATTTAGCGGTTGAGATTTGTCTTAAAAATAAGCTATACGTCATACATGATTGTTACATCGATTCAGGGTTTAGGCCCCTCAACGTTATGACAAGTAACCCTATATAACCAAGAGTGCCATTATAGATTCACTTTTATCTCCTGGTCCTGGTTAAAAATCCAGTGAGTCTTAACCCATTTTCACCCATTATTATATTCCTCGTATTTGCTATCTTGAACTGTTTTGATAGGCTATGAATTCTAAATATCTAATTATATAATTTTAACCAATTTTGAATGAGAGATGAAAATATGACTGAAAATATTCCAATACAGGATGCACTTCGTTGTAACTAGTTTACGTGATTTTTCGGAAGATATCTCCACCAATGTGCAATGTGTATGACAGTTTCCGAATATATCTCCACCAATGTGCAATGTGTATGACAGTTTCACGCTTGTGAATGTTACCTTTTTTAAATCAAGAAATTATCTATATAATAAAGCCCTTTGCCCATATATATATATATATATANGGGGGGGGGGGTTAATTATTAAATCAAAAGTTAATTAGTGCGCAAGGAATATGCACTGAATTAATGAGAAGAAACTTCTTAATAATTATTAGATTATAGCGGCGGCATCTGTTCAACCCAGGGGGATGATAGTTCTCTACCTGTGTGCTCAGTTAGCTGTACTGTTTACTTACAATTGTTTACTAATATTGATATACTAGGTTAGGCCAGAATAAACTTATAATAAACAAATATGCAGTACGCTCGGTATAGTTGATGGCCTGTACAATTAGGAAAGGATTAGCGTACATCATCACTCTATACATTATAACCTCGTTGGTTCAACCTATATTTCAGGTTTATAGTGCAAGGTTGAAAGGTTTCAAGCTCACGCGCAGAAATCGTTGAGAATTTTCCCCTGAATACTTCTTATAAAATAAATCTAATAATGATTGCTTTATATGGTTCTAAAATGTATATGTGCAGGCCTACAAAAGAGTCTACGTGAGGTAAAATCAAGTGAGGTCTTGAAATGTTGGGTTCCAAGTTATTAAAGGGAATTAAAGGATTCACAGCGATTAGTAAAATTTTACTAATCTTAAACAAATGGCTTAACTATTTTTTTTCAAAACCATTTTAATTGATACTTGTACTGTGTACATTAGGCTGGATCTGTTGATACTTCTACATTAGGTTGGATCTGTTGATACTTCTACATTAGGCTGGATCTGTTGATACTTCTACATTAGGTTGGATCGGTTGATACTTCTACATTAGGCTGGATCTGTTTCGCGACCAAATCTGGCCTCTTAAAATATCCTAGAGTATCCACCTAGTCATAATTTGTTAAGGGGTTTGATTGGAACCTACACTAAGCCTCAGATCTCTTGGATACAACTCTACTTCTTTTAGAATCTCTCTTCGATAGTAACAGTCTTCTGGTTAGCAAGAAACAGGTTCAATCTATGAAAGATTGCCCGAATTAATTTTATTTATAATCCAAAAGAGTAAATATAAATACAATATGCAAAAATGAAGTAATATACAGAATTAGTTACAAGAATAAAAGTACTTTAAAGTTTAATTTAAACAATCCAAGGATACAAAAACTCATTCATCAAGTAAATGAATATAGTAAGTCTTATTAGTGCCTTAATGTGCCCTAAACAGATCACAACGATATCTCTCTGTATCAAAATGTCAAGTATAATTGACAAGAAATGGCGTATACAGTATACAGTATACAGTATAAATCTAAGGTAAAGTTTACAAATCAAAACTGGTTTCGTTTCTGCAGTACAGACTTGTCCCCCCCCCCCCCCTCGACTTCACGGGTTTCACATCTGTTTGCGCGTAGAATTCAGGGGCGAGGGAATTCAGAATGTGACGATTTCGTCGCGTAACAGGATCATAAATAAATATAATCAAAATATATGTATTTTAGTCTAAAATTGAAGTTTAGACTTGATCCAATCTACTTTTAATAGAATATCTATATGATGTATATAAAGTAACCCCTATTTCATTTTTTTTATGTGAGAAAATGCAACCTACTAAGATCAAAATAAATGATGGTAATTTCATAAAAATGAAGACTGGAAATTTCTGCATTAAAAGAGAAATAGGACTTTTTTACATTTGGTGAAAATCTATTTTTACACAGGATGAATATGTAATGCAAGATTTTCATGAGTTTCTCAAAGCTTTTTGGTTAGGGGTTTTTTTTCTCACTTTTACCCTGCTGTTTGAAAAACTTTCCTTATGGTTTTATATAATCTTATTATCTGTGGGACCACGCACGGTGTGATTTAAAGTATTACCAATGAAAAATTAAGATGAAAACTGTTTTTTTTTCTGTCCAAAATGGTCTTGATAATTCTGTAATTCAGAAACATCTTTAAGTTGTTCAAAAGATTATGGAGTTTTCAAATACAATCCCTGTAATTCATTTCCTTAATCATTGTAGATTGTAGTAAAAAGCTAATTTTTATTATTATTATTTAAGTATCTCATAATTAGTTTCAGGGTTTAGATTCCTAAATCTCAGTCTAAAAATTAACTTTAAAATGTTGAAAACCTGGATTTTAGAATTAACAATATTTAGAAGAAAAATTTCCTTGATCTAGAGCTGAAAACTTTAGAATTGAGGATATCACGATTGATCTTCTCTTGTTGTAAATTTTAAGATTAATTTGATCTTTAGTTTGTATCTTGAAAAGTGTGTATAATTCAACCTATAGAGTGGCGTATGCAAACTCCGGTACAGCCAATCAGAAGCTGGAAAAATTTAATGAGAAACTCATTGGTTAGAATCTGGTAGGGATATTAAAAAAAGAGAGAAAAAAGTGGATAAAGTAGGACATTTAAAGTGTTCACATCGGATATTTGGGTTAATCGATCGGGATTAAGAGTATCCAATTCTAAAGTTCTTTCTCTAAGTGGCCTCTAGTCCTCAGGGCAATGTAAAGATGAGATCCGTCCAGGGAGTAAGGAATAGAAGGGAGATATAACTGACGCGGTTCGCCATACCCTATGATTATACATGCTTTGCAGACGGGTACTTCATTTGTATAAGAAATATTTGCCTGATGTACAATTACCGCGTATACAATAACCTTTTCTGAATATTTTTTATACAAATGGAGTACCCGTCTGCAAAACTTGTATACTCATATGTAGGGCGAACCGCGTCAGTTATATCTCCCTTCTATTCCTTACTCCCTGGATCTGTCCTATTGTGACCCAAAGCTTCCACTCTGGATATATTTATAATAAAAGCTCTTCCCTTATATATCTATAGCTGGCCAAACGGCTGGATTGATTGGACTAATTTTTTGCGGAAACCCATGGGTACCCGAGGGGTAATATAGGCTAAAAAATTCAAAATTTAGTTTTTTTTCAAAACTTATTTTTTTCAAAATCCATTGTTTACAAACAAAAACTAAAAATTCCACAGTTCCAAATACAAATAAATTCTACCTGGTAACAGCCAAAAAATTAAATTGATTCCAAATCTGACACAAATATTAGCTCATTTTCATATAAAGAGTTACATTAATTTTCAAGCATGGGTCGACTTTGAAATGTCGCAACGCTTTGATCTTTGATTTTATCTCAGTATAACTTACTTCATTTTTGTGTACTACAACCAAAATATATATTTTACACATAGATTCAGACTGCTATAAAAGAGTAAAATTAATTTTCCAGACATGGGTCGACTTTGAAGTGTCTCAAAGCCTTGACTTTTGATTTTACCTCACAAACTTACTTATACTTTTATTGTAGCCCTGACTTGTAGATTTTAGAACAATAAAACACTTTCTTTATTTTTAGTTTTTAAGAATTTATTTATTTATTAATTGTCAATATTCTCATACATTTTTGCATAAGAGCTTGCAAATTTTTGTTGTTGACAATTTTGCTTATATTTATAAACATGGAAATGTAAACAACTTGTGATTTAAATAATAGCTTTCTTTTATTAAACTGATTACATTCAAGGAACTAATGCAAAGAAAGTTGATTCAGAGGTGTACACATTTATTGTACTGCAGTGTACTGTCTTTGGGCGGAAAATAAAACACAAGACGGATGTCACAGCCTGACATGGAATCCATTTTCACAAAAATAATCAATTAAATATTCTGGTCAGATTGCTTCCACCCTCACTGGATCTTATATTTTCTTTTTATACAGAAATCAAGGACGTGCACACACACCACAACGGACTGTAAAGGTTTAACTGAATGAATCGTACCTAATCTACATTCTCATTAACAAAATGTCAAGTTTAAAAAATTGTGCTCAAAATCGAAAATCTTTTGATCGTAAATTTGAGGAACAAGACTTCAGGTTTTAAATTATGCTCAAAATCGTAAATCTCGTAATCTTAAACGTGAATCTTAAACTAGCCTTTGAACTTAGTATCCCTCAATATCACGTATACATCTGTCAAGTTTCAACCAGATTGAATAGAATCCGATGTATATACTCATTAATAAAATTGCAAGATATTAAATTATGCTAAAATCGAAGATCTTACTTAAATATTTCAATGTTTAAACTATAGCTATAGTCTTGAATTCCAATGATATTCGAAATTCCAAAATTAGAACTTGATCAACATGTTTAATTATAATCCCGACGGCCTTGCTGTCAAAGGAAAATGGAAGATTTTTTTTTTCCTTTCTTCATAGATTTCTCTTTACCTAGTTAAACTGTAACCTGGAGGATGAATAAGTGCGAGAACCTCAGAGGATCTGGCGGACCTCATAGCTACACCTCTCGGCGAAAAATAACGGTAAAAAATATATTTCCATAAGCCCCCGTGAAGACTGGCAGATCTCCTTCATTATCAATGAATTTTAAATCCTTTTTTTTCAAACAGAGAGCAGGGGCGTGCACGCGGATCATTTTGGACTGTAAAGGTTGAAACCCTATTGAACCGAAACTAATGAACATGCTATTTAATAAAATTTTAAGATTTTAAATTATGTACGAAAACTAAATTCAACTTAAAGTCTACAATGTTAATTTTTTAAGTTGAAAAATTATTTTTTTTATCTTTTATCCTTTAATTTTATATTTCGGATATAAAAGTTTACCACTGCAAACAAAAAACTAAACGACATTACTGTAAAAAATTACCTCCGTAAAAAATTAAGAAATAAAAACTCACAGTTAAATCGAGTCGTATTAAAATGACCACACACAAATCTAATCAATCTGATCGGAGTTTTTTCCTCTGCAATCTAGTTCTTATAAATAATTTGTTTTAATTTATTAATCTTTATTGATATCGTTCAGAAAATGATCTTTAATTAAGAGGACTTGAGCTAAGATCTGAATTTTCCTTCTTACTCTGAATTTGTTTTAATTGATAAATCTTGATTGATATCGTTCAGATCTTACTTAAATATGTCAATGTATAAACTAAAGTCTTGAATTCCAATGATATTCAAAATTACAAAATTAGAACTTAATCAACATGTTTAATTATAATCCCGACGGCCTTGCTGTAAAAGGAGAATGGAAGATTTTTTTTTCTTTCTTCATAGTTTTCTCTTATCTAGTTAAACTGAAACCTGGAAGATGAATGAGTGCGAGTATAACCGTGAATCTGTCGAACCTCAGAGGATCTGGCGGACCTCATAGCTGCACCTCTCGGCGAAAAATAACGGTAAAAAATATATTTCCATAAGTCCCCGTGAAGACTGGCAGATTTCCTTCAGTATCAATGAATTCTAAATCTTTTTTTTTATACAGAGAGCAGGGGCGTGCACGCGGATCATTTTGGACTGTAAAGGTTGAAACCCTATTGAACCGAAACTAATGAACATGCTATTTAATAAAATTTTAAGATTTTAAATTATGTACGAAAACTAAATTCAACTTAAAGTCTACAATGTTAATTTTTTAAGTTGAAAAATTATTTTTTTTTATCTTTTATCCTTTAATTTTATATTTCGGATATAAAAGTTTACCACTGCAAACAAAAAACTAAACGACATTACTGTAAAAAATTACCTCCGTAAAAAATTAAGAAAAAAAAACTCACAGTTAAATCGAGTCGTATTAAAATGACCACACACAGATCTTATATATCCAATCGGAGTTTTTTCCTTTGCAATTGAGTTCCTATAAGTAATTTGTTTTAATTAATAAATCTTTATTGATATCGTTCAGAAAATAATCTTTAAATTAAGAGGACTTGAGCTAAGATATCTTCCTTCTCACCCGGAATTTTCTCTCAAAATAAACTAATGATTTTTTTTTACTGATTCAGTCTGAGAAAACTGTAACGCCTCCTGAACCGACAAACCTCACCGCCGAGAAACCAAGATGTCTCAAGAAAATGGGACATCTACGCTACATCGCTCTCTCTAATTTGTATCCCAATACAAACGAGCAACATATTTGCTCTAGAGTATTGAAGATATGAGAAATATGAAGAGATTAAACCATAATCTCTCTTCAACGTCCTAGACAGTAGCGCGGAACCATCAATGTTCTACGTGAGTCTAGTCCTCAAGTATAATGTTTTTTTCTTCCAACTGAAACTTAATGTTTCTCCAATAAGCTAATTTACATTAGCAAGGAACCTTCAATGTTCCAAGCTAGTATGTTTCTTAATTTCAGAGTCTCTTATCTTCACGTCGGTCATATAGATTCTAAACCACATAGATAAATTAACATGCAGCAAGGAACCATCAATGTTCCGCGCTAGTATGTATCTTAATTATATAGCTTCTTACCTTTACGTTGGCTAAATAGCGTCAAGACTACATAGTTTAATTAATATAAAGCCATACCAACGAAGAACCATCAATGTTCTTCGTTGGTACAATCTGTGTATTTTTCACATAGTGTATATAGACTTTATATCAAGGTTTCATGAAAATTGTAAAGTGTTTACGCAAACTGATTTCTACATAAATTGCTCAAATTATATATAAACGATTCTGTTATTAAAAATTTCTATTCAATCCGCAAACCCTATTTTCGTCAATATCTTATTATATGCATTTAACGTCCTACCATTTCATTGGTACATTTCTCAATTTTTATGTTTTGCATAACCCAAGTAGCCTTGATTCCAAATTTTTTATTTAAAAATGTATCCGTAAATTAACTCTTATATAAATCTCTCAAAAAATTGTAAACGAATTTGTTGTAAAACTTTATTATTAAACACATGTAAACTATTTTGTACAATTTTAATAATCTCGACACGGAGATAATAAATATCTAGATCTTAACAAATATTCTGGTCATAGGAAACTATTATTTGAATTCTCAAAATTATCAAAATTAAATGCTTTTATCCTCCCCGGATTCTACACAAACACTGATGCATCTATTCTTGTTTACAAATTCCGCCCAGAGAAAACTGGTTTCAATATGTACGCAGAGTATACGCAACCGCAATTAACTTTCCTCGCATTAATTCCTTGATTACATTGAACTACTGTGCTTTTATGAAATTGTTGCAGACTTATGAATTATAAATATTATATCGACCATTTATACTTAAACAAATTTCATGCATGAGCAGTCTAGTTTTTTACAATTACTAATAAAGTTTTTATAGTTATACCCAAGCTAGGAATATTTTACAGAACTTAACTGTGAGTTTGTTTACATTTCTTTGGAAAAATGCAGTACACTTTTTGTTTGTAAACAAAGATATGGGATTCCTGTTTGTGTTGGTTCACCCCTGATCTACAGAATTTATGAGTTGAAACTGGAATAAAACATTTTTATTTTTAAAAAGATTTTTTTTTGATTTTGCTCTTCAACTATAATATAACTAACTGTCAGATATTCAATTCAATTTTGAATAAAGTTGGACAATACTGGACCTTATTTTGAACAGAAATCTAGTAAAAACTTTTTAAATTAATTATAAAATAAAAAAGTCATTTTAACATTTATTTGAAGATGATATTTTGTTTAGAAATCTAGTTGGAACTTGTTGAAATTAAAGTATAATTAAAAAGTCATTTGAAGGCTTTTACATATTTCTAATCATAATCATATCCCCGGAGTATCCCAATAAACATGGGAATTGAGAAACGACTTGAATGTCGTCTTTGAGTTCTGATATTTAATGCCTGGCACAGAAAATAAAAAAATTGAGGCTGTACGTCTGACGAGCTTTCATAAAGTGGTCTACCTTTCTTTTATCTTGTTCTTTGAAAAACATATTTTTCGTTGTAAAATGTGAAATTGAATAGAAATTTATATAAACTTTTAATTAAAATATTTTATATATAACTTTTTGATTTTTAAAAACTAGATTCTAACTATAATCTATCCAACAGTTGAAGATGGAAGACTGAGTTCACTGTTCTACAAATAAATTATCAAGTACATTAAGTGACAACAGAGAAAAGGACCAATTACACACGACGTCTCAAGTGTCAAATATAACAAGGAAAACGAAATTTTCTCAAATTAGTTGACATGTTTTTTAAGATTAAATAAAAAGTGTAAAAACATAAAATTTCACTTATTTCACTGTAAAATAAGCACTTAGTCTAAAATTATCACTATTTTTAATAGTTTTGTCAGACACAAAAACTGAGTGGACACTTGTGACGTCAGAATACGGCTGTACTGACAGTGCACAACTTCTACGTTGCCATCTATTGTACTAGATAATCTATTTGACTGTTCTGCATCCTTTTTTTTTGCAGAATTTCATTCACTCTTTCTTCTGCAGGATTAATTCACCGCTAGATCATTCCTGGATTTCATTTAAGAATGAAGATTATAATAGAACTAGGGTTTTCTAATCAACTTAATACACTGAGCCCGAAATTTGAAAGAGGTTCGTTGGACAAAACTATCGAGTTTCCTTTTTGAGGTCTTAACATTTTGTAGATTTTATTTATTTAAGAGATTCAACAAAAATTGAGAATATAAACAAACTGAATAAAATAATATTTCTAACAAAAATATTGATATTCACAAAACTCCATTTGTGAAACCCGGGGTTTAAAACTGGTTTTTGGATCGATAACCTTAAGTTTTGGGCTCTGCATGCACACTACACAGTACAGCTAATGCAAACAGTCCTCAGAGCCGAAAAATTAAGATAGAATGTTGTAGTGAAACCCAGTATCGTAACCCCAGTTTGAGGCAGTTTTGAAGATACCAATATAAGAAAAATTATATCTTGAGTTTTCTTCACATTTTCTTTAATTAAAACTTATCAAATAAATTTTCTTTGCAAAAGTTTTTGATTAAATGCATAACATTAATCTCCAGAAGAAGATATGACACTTTTCCAAATATTTCTTTATTTTTGAACAGTTTTCAGATTAATATGCTTCAACCACAAACTCAAATATTTGAATTCCTATATCTTTGCAACCTGATGGTGTAGACCTTTGATATTTCAAACTCACAATATTTCATCTTTAACATATGTTAAAGTATGAAATATCAAAGGCTTATGACTTAGGGTTGCAAAGATATAAGGATTAAAAATCTAAGTTTGTGGCAAAAACTTAATTCCTTTATGGTGATTTTATTTTGGTACTAAACGGGATTCTGTGTTAGGGTTAAAGTGTTAAGAGTAACATTTCCTTAAAGGTACTTTTAAAACAACTATTCTATTAGATTCCTGCTTTAAGTCTTCTGCACAAACCTGCGTCACTTTCATGGAGAACCTGAATTTAAAAGTCATGAATTTTCAATAAGAAAAAAGCTCTATCAGTTTTTCCTCTGACTAATATTTCTAAGGTGTCGTTGCAAATCGGGCGTGTCATTTTTTATTTAGAGGTTCACTTGAAATTACGTAGACAGTCCCTTTAATTAAAAATAACAAAATTATCCCGGTTTACAGAAGTCTTACATTTACAAAGGTGGGGTTTCTTTAGTGTTATTTTTTTATGATGCATAAAAAGCGTTGTTCTAACCAAATACTGGGTTCACTAGACGGGCTGGTACGCTAAATACTAGACCAGCACTGGTCACTATAGTTTCAGTAGAAGTAAATATTTCCATTTACTGTTATAGCGCCGATTGAAGGATTCATAACTCTAATTGGATAATGGGATAGATAGAAAGATGAATGTTACCGCCATACTATTTCTATTGGTTCAGAATATACAACAAACACATGACTGAACCCTGATTGGATCAGGCACTAATGGACTCGGCATACAGGAGTGTTTTGTACTGGTTCGGACCTTACAACTTTTGACGTACATACTTGTGATGCAGTACTTGTTTTTAAGTACAATTATTCCGTTTTCTGATACATTTTCATCAACGTGTTTAAATATTTATTTCAGAAAATCCAGAAAGAACCTTGCTTTCATGTTAGATCTCTGTACTGTGTGTACTTAATAATAACTCAAGGTAAACTAATCTAAATTAAGATTAAAAATCTTATTTTCATCAAAAACCATGACACGACAGCATTTACATTTTTATCAAAATAGGCATTTGGGAAATTTTCCCAGATTCCCAGTCATTTGGGAAATTCCCCAAAGGTATTTGAGGGTGGTATATTTTTAAGATTTTGGAAATTTCTCAAATGACTGGATATTTGGAGAGTTTCCCAAAAACCTAGGCATTTGGGAAATCCCAGATGTTTGGGTTTTTGGGGAATTCCTCAAATGTCTGGGTATTTGGGGAATTCCCCAAATGCCTGGGTATCTTGGAAATTTCCATTCATTTGAAAAATTTCCAAAATTTAAAAAATACACCACCCTCAAATAGCAGTAGGCATTTGGGAAATTTCCCAGATACCCAGGCATTTGTGAAATTCCCCAAATTCCTATAGGTATTTGTTTGGACCGTGCATATGCAGATCTTAATATTTTTGAAGCAACCTGTATTGCATCCTTGGCTTAGGCTAGACAAGGTTTTCTGGTATATATACCTGCCAGCCAGGGGTAAAAATTCTTCCGTTCAGTACAGTACAGTACAGTAGAATGTATCCATGGTACAAGAATAATTATTTTTATGTAGAGATTTTTTTCCCTACGCATATAGTATTTCTTTCAAAGTAAAGATTCATTTGAGTTGTTAGTAGCTTAAGTCTTGGCAAAACTCATGATGAAGTAACCCGTATATAATCTGAACTATTAGGTCTAAGAGTTGATAAATTATTGATTTAAACATATAACTATTGAGTCTATTGACGTTAACAACAAATGGTTATTTAGTGCTTACTGTCTTAATCTTTTTATTTTTATTGTTTTTAGTTCAATTATCAACTTGTGATTTATATAGTACGTTCCTGAAGCTGAATATGTGAAGAGAGAGTGTTATTAAATTCTAATACAACTCTATGTCATTCATTTACATACAGTGAGCTTTTTAGAGAGTTGCCGTCTCTAACAGTATTTGAGGGTGGTATATTTTTAAGATTTTGGAAATTTCTCAAATTGCTGTCACTCTTATTATTTTATTATTTTATTATTATTTTAAAAAGATATTGAGAAGAACGAAAATATTCGGAATTTCTAAAAAATGTATTCTTGTGCGCAGTAAAATTAAAACTAAAGGAACTACGAGGTTCTAAATTCGTACCAGTAATGTTGTATAAAGGAATTGAGTCTTGGCCAAAACTCTTTGCAACCCAATTTCTGAGACCTTAGATATTTCGAACTATGAACTTTGTTAAATTAAATAATTGAGTTTAAAATATTAAAGTTTTACACCATCAGGTTGCAAAACCATAAGAATTAGAAAACTTGAGTTTAAATTCTTTCGGGATTATAAGGAAATGTAGATTGGGATTAAAATGAACTATAGTTTGGGATTAAAAGGAACTATAGTTTGGGATTAAAATTAACTATAGTTTGGGATTAAAATGAACTATAGTTTGGGATTAAAATGAACTATAGTTTGGAATTAAAGGAACTATAGTTTGGGATTAAAATGAACTATAGTTTGGGATTAAAATGAACTATAGTTTGGGATTAAAAGGAACTGTAGTTTGGGATTAAAATGAACTATTAATAATCTAAGTTTGAAATATCTAGGGTTTTCACTGTCATGTTGCAAAGATTTAAGCATAAAAAACTTATTATTTTTGGCAAATACTTAATTCCTTTATGAATCTAACTCTTCCGGTGATATCGGTGATATCGGTGATATTGTTTCTCTCATCAAATCTAATGGACACTATTTGTTTTTAGTTTTCTAAAGCTTTTTATACTTTTCCCTCTTTTTCG